TTTGCGTAACGTGGAGTTCAGCTTTGGTGAACTGTGACCAGCAAAATCGCCGCTTCAACCAAAAGCAAAGTACGCGTGGAGGAGACATCGACTGTTGCTGTGTCTTACCAGCTGATACTGGGTGATAATGGCCATGAAAAATACAAAATGCCCCTCATGAGAGATTCTGCCTGGCTGGCAACAAGTCAGGGACTGGGCAGGGAATGTAAGAAAATGGAATAACATCATATTGTCAACCTACTTCACATTAGGTAGCAAACATTTAGCACAAATAGTGCCTCAGCAGGCGATGGTTGGCCGATCACCTGCATTTGCTCATGTGTGACCATGCCCAATACAGTAAGTTGCCTTTTTTTTTTTCAACTGAAGAGAAAAAAAAATGTTTTACACAAGGTGACAGTGTCATAGTGCAACTAACAGGGAAGCTTTCAATCTTTGAGGTAAATATAAAATGATACGTCAAGATGGTGTGTGGAAAATTGCTATCATATACTCTCTGTATTGAAGATGCAGTTGTTTGTGCTCGTCTCCTTCACCGATTGTTGGAACTTGAAAACTGTTGCTATTGCATTATGACAAGTATTAAAACAGCAAACAGCAGAAGCACTCCAATGACCTAATATTAATATGTTTATATAAAAATATATACATATATATCTCATTGCCTGTAAAAAATACTGAAATCATCAGTTACTAGATATTGATAAAAAAAAAGACTAATATTGTGGTGTGTATGCCAGTCTGAAATTTATTCTGTTATTTTTGGTCAAAGCTACTGCATTCAGGTAAGTTCTCCTTTAAGATTAATTCAGGGCTGAACGATTAATGCATTCAAACCGACACTTGGAAGTTTAAGATCACAATTTTCAAATCACAAAAGCTGTGACTAAAAAATACCAAAAAGTGATGGAAACAGCTGGCCCTGCTGGTTTCACATGCACACACACTGCTCCATGTGACTAAGGGTAGATGAAAAAACCACTTGGGCAATGCCACGTCAAGCTTTGATGCTCACAGTACTACTGCGTGAAAATGGCTATGGCTTGGTTTGAGTGCAATTCACATGTTTACATCTTACGTTGTTTGCTGCAGTGAGTGTGGTTCAGCGAGAGAGTTACAGTGGATGCACTGAGAGCAGACAGGTGTTGGTGATCGGAGCAGAGTCTGTGTGCTTCCTGACCACAGTCTGGAAGCAAGAAAGGTTAACAGCATATTTACAAGGGAGGCGAGTGGTGCAGCTATCGTCAGCGTGCACTTTAGTTTGTGTGACTCGTTACTGTATCTGACTGGTGATCTGTAAGATTCCAGACTAATTTTTACATGTTAATGTTCACATCCCACCTGTTGTTCCACGGTGCTTAAATGGTCTTTATTTAAGTTATGTCATGATGATTATAATAGCTAAATAAAGTTATCAATATATATAATATTAATAAATGTAATTTGATGTAACCACGTAGGCCTGGCCAAAATGAAAAAACACAGTGTATATGTTGACTGTGTCCAATGCTGGGCTGGTAATACTATAAAATGATTAATTGTTGTATATAGTGAATAATACAGAAGATAAGTAACTTGATTTGAAAAATCAAGGATAATGTGGAATTTGTTTTTTCAACAAAAGGCTGCTGTTAGATGTTGGAGTGTTCTTGAAAGCACCACCAGGAAGAATTTTAAAAACTCACTGCCTGATACAGCATGGCCACATGTTGCATTAGCAGTATTGATGTAGAGAACAATCTCTAAGAGACAACATACAATTTACTATTATAGCAATGATTTAACTGCTTTATCTTTTAATGGAGTTCATACATGATCAAAATATGTGCTTTTTCTAAAGGAAAAAAAAGCTTCATTAAAGTGATTGACCTGAGCACAACCTACAGCATGACCTAACTGAATCAGGTCATTAATCACAAACCAAAGACAAAAACTCATCAAACTTAAATAGTCCTCACTCAACAATGCTACTCTGCCTTTTATTTTTCAACTATTTCCCAAAGTGAAGTGCAAAACATAATAATTGTATGAAATAGACCGGTTATATGGAGGATATAAATTACAAGACATGCAAAGCACTTAAAAACAAAGCCTAACCAACCAATTATTAAAACTGTAGCCTGCAAATGTGTATAGCAAATAGAAAAGTCAAATGGACTGTCATTGAGATCCAAGAATATCATATCTGTGTGATCAAGGGTTAAATGTATGTGCGGTATGTTCACTCTAATGACCTGCTGATGATAGGTCAGCAGTTCAGTTTTGCAACGGATGATATGACAAGAACTGCCTAAGAGTGGAGTCTTAACTGAGTGTTCTGGGGTCCTCAGCCCCCAAATTTAGCATGAATCACATCTGACAATGTTAAAAATCACACATGTAATTCAAACTTTAACCTCAAGTGTTCACAGTACAATACAATTTAATATTAAATCAAGTGACTATCACACAGCCAACATCAACTGAAATCTTTCCATCTGGGCACCTAAACTGAAACAGAAAGGTACTGATGAGCTGTTACACTGTATATGTGCCTGTGAAATGGTGGCCCACACTACACTCACCTTGAACAAGGTTACTACAGCAGTTCAGCAGTCAAACTAATCTAGAGCTCTCCTTACAGGTCAGACTGGTGTTCACTATGGCTTTTCTTGACCTTAAAGTCAGGATTTAGAGGGTGACCTTGGCATTCAGATAGGGGAGTGGTCAGGCTCTATCTAAATGTTACACCCTACAACGTGCTGAGCACAGGCAACCTAAGCAGCTTGCACGATGGATACAGAGCAGCCTTGGTATACCTGTCACTCTAACAACACACTTTCACTTTATACAAACCTGTCATACTAAAGAATATAATTTCCTCATAGGTACAAGCCTAATAGCACGTCTTATGAGACTAAACGTTATCACGAGTTAGGAGAATCACAAGTTAGTTAATTACGACATGTACACAGTAAAGCAGACTACTGTGTACCTGTGAAACTCGACTTTTAAAAGAATTCGTTCACACCGTTGGCAGACGTGAAGGTTTAGCCGGAAACGCAGTTTTTAAAGGTGTCATCTTAAAACCATTAACACCAACGTGGGAAATGTGTGCAAGTCGAACTGCCATTGTACCAGCACATTACCGTAATATTTAGAGTCGATGTGTGTCTGTGCCGAGACCGCACCAATACGCTGTCTAATTTTGTATACAGCCTAGCCAAAAGATAGGCTCGAACATACACTGCTGGTATCAAGTTTTAACTCAACTAATTAGCGTTAATGTTAGCTACAACAACAGGCTAATCCTTCAGTTCAGCTGACCGAGAACCAAAACCCAACGGAAATCTCTTATCTGCCGTCTACAATCCCATAACACAATGACAAGTTACACCGTGACTTACCGGAGTGTCAACTGTGCACGAGGGTAATAATGCCAACTTTTAACGACTTAATGCTAGCGTTAAACCATTACAGCTAGCTACATGCTAATAATGTCAACTATATGACTGTGTACCTCACAATAAACAGTCCCAATTCTGTTGCCTCTTTCGAGTCGGGTGTTAATAACGTTAAGCTAAATCTCCTCTAAAAAATATCGTAAAACGTTACGACCATTTCATCTCAAGATGTGCCGGCTAATGGAATTAGCTAGTCGGCTAGCAAGTACACAGACCACAACGTTAAACTGCACTCAGAATCCTGATGTTTTACTGTTGCCTCGCAGTGAGACAGGGGAAGGTACGTTATGCATATCAAAATACAACTCAGTGCTTTTTCTCCCAATTCACACGAGTCTCTTTCCCTTTGCACACCTCCATACACCTATTCAGCTTTCATGTGCCATTGCTAACATGGTATACAACCCATCTCTGAAAGATAGAAAAAACTAAACTAGTGGGCGGTAAGTTAGCAAGCAAGGAGAACAATTTATAAACACTGTAACTTTATGTGTGGCCCTACGTGACTTATTTGAATGCCGAATTTATCACAAAACACTTCTTAACCACAAAAGAACTTACGTTTAGTACTAAGATGCACAACTTGCTGGCAGTAAGGCTGAACGTGTTAACTGAGAGATATACACAGGGAGTTTGGTGTAACATTGTCGGGAATGAAATCCAGTACTAGAGGTGGTTGTGACCTAAAGCTAACGTTACACTACAGGGAATAAAGCATGGCCGGTTAGGAGGCCGCAGTGCCGGATACAAACTATGAAGTTAGCAAGCTAGCCTCACACATTGGTTCCAGTGCCTTACGGTCTATGAACCAAAACATGAATTAAAATGTCAGGGCAGCTAATCGGAATTTCCACATCATTTTTGTCCCAAAGACGATGAGGTTGGTTACATCACTAAAGCCTCGTGTTTAAGGCCATTTTAGAGTTTCACTTCACCGACTTGACCATCGCGTTAGGCCACAACATCAAGGCAATGCATCACACAGCTTTAAACGCAACCAAATACACCAGCGAGGGCTTGTCCCAGACTGACGCAGGGTTTAAGGACGCTTCAGGAATGCTTCTGTCCTGCATGGGCCTCAGACCTTCGTGTTAGCTTGCTAGCCGGCCTGGCGAAAATGATTCCCAACTAACTTGCGTTCTCACTGCTGACAAACTGTGCGCATTTGTGACTATTTAAGACACATGTCACTGTTGTTGGTAAGTGCATAGAGACCATACGAGAAAAGGATTTAGGGTAATCTAAGTTACACAACAGGGAAAGAGGCTAGCAGGAGTGTGCTTACTGTTAAGTTAGAGAAAGATGTGTAGGCTAGTTGTTCAATGACATGGGATTACTGCACTCAGTCGGTGACACAGTAAACCCTAGACAGCTTGCAGAGACGCGTGAAAATGTCAATGAATGGGGTTTTGCACACTGTGCGTGTGTTACACCCCTGTGAGTTGATTTGAACTAAGTCACGCTGTGTGAACATGATGCAGATGGCTACAGGCTTGCATGGTCTTTCCCCTTCGTTGCTAAATTCGCTCTTCCTTCTCCAGTTTTTGGTTTACTTACGGTATTTCAGGATCCTCGGTGCCGCCACGATGAGGGCAAGACTGATTATGTGAGTTTTCAAACGTGTCCCTGTGGAAAGTCAGCCTCTCCTCCCCACGTGTAGACCGACGAGCAGCACCAGTCTAAAAAAAACAGACTAAACAGCTGGTCAAGTCTCGCGACACTCCGGTGTGTAGGCAGGTTGTAGTCTCGCGTTAACTGAGAATGCAGTAAAGTCACCTATTTCAGACATGGACCCCTTAACGTTAATCTGATGGCAATATAACTTGCTGATCTCGTCTGAATACGCGCCCTGTTCACATTTACGCAAGAGTCGACGGCAGTCTTAGGTTGTAAAGAATGTGAAACATTTTTATATGACTTTGGACACGGCAGCATCTGAACTAAAAGCCGTCAGATCGGGGGTCAAACACATACACGCACTTACACACATGAAGTGAGCGGGAAATGTCTTCTATGATGACTGTAGTAAACCTACATATATTGTCTCAATCGTCATGTCTCATGCACAAAATCACGCTGGTGAAACCAGGGGCGTAGCACCAAATACTGGGCCCTCTGCATAAGTCTCTGTGGGCCCCCTGCCCCTGCTGTCTTTTCCCTCATGATGCACCTTGTGATTTTTTTTTTTTTACAAGGTTAGTTTTCTTTCTTCCCCTTTCCTTTCTGTCTTTTCTTTTTTGGAATCCCGATTGCCCTTTCTTGGGGAAAGATGTGAACTCACTCAGCTCTATGTGCATGTAGTGCAGGGGTGGGCTAAACCTTTTTGCGCCTTCAAAGGGTGAGGGGTCACAGTGAGGTTCCACATTATTTTTATACAAATTTAAATCTATCAATCAATTTATTAAGCCAGTTTGAATTTAGTTTAGTTATGGAACTAATTACTTATAAGTAAAAGTTTGCATACAAAACCAAGGCGCTCCCTCCCATTAGGGCCCTGGGTAACTGGTCCCACTTTTACCACCCACTAAGTGCCGCTAAGTGGAACACTTAGTATGTTTACATGACATTAGAGAAAATTGACTTATTGTGTTAGTCCAACTAAATCCAGAGTTTTAAAATACATGTAAACATGTTGGTCAGACTGAAATTGTACTAATCGAATTTCTCAAAGTCGGACTAACACACCCAACAAACACACACATTATGCGGTGTCATCAGCAGTTAAAAATATAATAGCCGTTCTCACTCGAGCAGCTGAGTGTGTGGGAGCCCGGCAGAGGTTTGCGAGCTTGGCTAGAGGGTGTTGAAGTGTTTGCAGCCCAGTTCTGTGTTCTGGCCCGTCAGGAGAACCACGAACTGACCAAACTGCTACAGAACTACTGGCGCTGCCGCAGACAGCTGACCCAGTCACACACGCAGCTACATACACAGTCCTCTGACTGCAAGAGCACTCAGAATCGTCTATGGAGCTTCAGAGATGAACAGCAGAAACAGCCAATGTGTGTGTGTGTGTGTGTGTGTATGTGTGTGTGTGTTGTGTTCAGGTGTTGTCACGTAAATAACAGTCCCCAAGCAATAAACAGGACAGACAATAGGATTTTATTTATTTTTACACTACATTTTCACTGAAAGCTGACCGAATCTGACCCGAGCCCGAATACAATTTATACATTTTTGACCGAATCCGGCTCGACCCATCGGGTACCATCGGTACCTGTCGGGACCCGTTGGGCTCAGATCGTATAGCCACACTCTAATATAGTGCGACTGGGAGTCAAATTACTCCTCCATACAGTCAATCTAACCCAAAATGTCTAGGTGCTCTGTGCATGCTCCACAGTTTCCACCCTGGGCTTTGACCCGGAAGTCGAACACCGTTAAATGCGTAACAAAAGACAAAGCTGGTAAAAATATGGCAAAATCTTCATCCAGAGCTGTGCATTTTTGGACAGACAGTGTCAGCACCAGTTTGCTGCGAGCTAACCGTAGCTAACTTGTTTGTTGATTGTTTGGTCTGAAGCTGAACATGTTATGTGTGTGACTTGCGTCTACTCGAATCGCAACCCAATTTAGATCACCACGCCCACTTCCGCATACGCAGAGCCCTGATGGAAACCTCCGACCACCTCCAAGCCTGCGACCCTCCGGTTCCCAACCCAAGTCCCTATGGACTGAGCTACTGCCGTCCATGGCCTGTTTCATCATTCATGACAACTGTGTGGGCAGTGATTTTTTTCCAGCAAGGGCTAGCGCATTTTGTGGCTGCGGCAGCTAGTCGTGGCACTTCCGGTGGCAGCTCCAGCTGCTGGATGAGCTGCCTCGCCAGTTGCCACCACTGCTAGTGGCAGCGTCCGAGGCAGCAGACAGTATTTTGGCAGCTGCCGCAGCACTACCTCTGTTTTTACTTACTGCCACGGAATGGCAGGGTGTTTGCATGTGTTTATAAACAAAGTTGCCTTTGTCAGCGGTCAATGTATATTAGTACTATGTATATCATACAAAGCTAGATCCTCATCATTCCACCTGCCTCAGTGGGACCTCGAGACCTCGACAGTGGTAGCTGCCACTACTGAAGCAGCTGCCTCGTAGGCTATAGTGTCAGCTGCCACTGTCGAGGCAGCTCCCGAGGGCAAGTGACGGTACTTCGGCACTTGCCGGTCACATCTTCAGGTGTTCCCACAGCTGCCAGTGAGTTGCCATGGCAACTGCCACTGTTTTACCTACACTAAAGCTATGTCCTTGATGTTTTTAATTTCCAATTATTTTTCAGACCCAGATAGAACACCAGGAGGTCCAGCCAGAACACTGTTCCCACCTGCTTCAAGACTACAACCCCACCCACCCACAACACGGACTGTTGTGGGTGAAGCCTAGCCTACAGAAGTGTGAAATGCAGAACATCAAGGCTGAAAAACTCTTTCATCCCCCTCTGCCATCAGACTCCTTAACAGATGACAGGAGTCACAACCACAGACTCTCTCATCACTGTAGCCTACATTTTGCACATAATAATCTGCGCATTTGATTTGCACATTGTAATTTGCACATTGCATTGCTAACATCAGACACTTCACTTTTGTATATACCAGATATATAAGATTTGTATTCTTTATTTATTGTAATTTCTGTTTTTCATACTGTAATTTTATTCTATTGTACAACTCGGCATCAGTATGGACAGCAAAGAAAAAATTTCATTGCACAGAGAAACTTGGTTTTTCTTGCTGTACATGACAATAAACACTTTGAATCTCTTGTTTCTTGTTTGAAATCGCTCTAAATACATGGGTCATTTTTTCATACATATATGTCAAAGAGATGGCGCAGTGGGATAAGCAGGCGCCCCATACGTAGGGGCTACAGTCCTCACTGCAGCGACCCCGGTTCGAGTCCCGCATAGGACGGCCCTTTGCTGCGTGTCTCTCCCCCTCTCTCTGCCTCCATCTCCTGTCTCTCTCTCCAAGATGAGGACTATCTAAGATGAGGACTATCAATAAAGGCATAAAATGCCCAAAAACATAATATTAAAAAAAAAGTAAATTTAGCCTTTTAATAAATAAAGTAATGAAAAATAAAAAATTTTGGAAATTGAAAAGATGTATATAGTAACATACACTGCCTGGCCAAAAAAAAAGTCACCACCAAAAAAAAAGGTCATACACTCTAATATTTCGTTGGACCGCCTTTAGCTTTGATTACGGCACGCATTTGCTGTGGCATTGTTTCGATAAGCTTCTGCAATGTCACAAGATTTATTTCCATCCAGTGTTGCATTAGTTTTTCACCAAGATCTTGTATTGATGATGGTAGAGTCTGACCGCTGCGCAAAGCCTTCTCCAGCACATCCCAAAGATTCTCAATGGGGTTAAGGTCTGGACTCTGTGGTGGCCAATCCATGTGTGAAAATGATGTCTCATGCTCCCTGAACCAGTCTTTCACAATTTGAGCCCAATGAATCCTGGCATTGTCATCTTGGAATATGCCCGTGCCATCAGGGAAGAAAAAATCCATTGATGGAATAACCTGGTCATTCAGTATATTCAGGTAGTCAGCTGACCTCATTCTTTGAGCACATACTGTTGCTGAACCTAGACCTGACCAACTGCAGCAACCCCAGATCATAACACTGCCCCCACAGGCTTGTACAGTAGGCACTAGGCATGATGGGTGCATCACTTCATCTGCCTCTCTTCTTACCCTGATGCGCCCATCACTCTGGAACAGGGTAAATCTGGACTCATCAGACCACATGACCTTCTTCCATTGCTCCAGAGTCCAATCTTTATGCTCCCTAGCAAATTGAAGCCTTTTTTTCCGGTTAGCCTCACTGATTAGTGGTTTTCTTAAGGCTACACAGCTGTTCAGTCCCAATCCCTTGAGTTCCCTTCGCATTGTGCGTGTGGAAATGCTCTTACTTTCACTATTAAACATAGCCCTGAGTTCTACTGTTGTTTTTCTTCGATTTGATCTCACCAAACATTTAAGTGATCGCCGATCACGATCATTGAGGATTTTTTTCCGGCCACATTTCTTCCTCGAAGACGATGGGTCCCCACTATCCTTCCAGTTTTTAATAATGCGTTGGACAGTTCTTAACCCAATTTTAGTAGTTTCTGCAATCTCCTTAGATGTTTTCTCTGCTTGATGCATGCCAATGATTTGACCCTTCTCAAACAGACTAACATCTTTTCCACGACCACGGGATGTGTCTTTCGACATGGTTGTTTAGGAAATGAGAAGCAACTCATTGCACCAGTTGGGGTTAAATAACTTGTTGCCAGCTGAAAGATAATCGCCCATGCAGTAATTATCCAATAGGAGGCTCGTACCTATTTGCTTAGTTAAATCCAGGTGGCGACTTTTTTTTTTGGCCAGGCAGTGTAGTTATATAGTTAGAATGCATTCATTTGAAATATAGCCTAAAGAAAAGGAACATTCAGGCATGTATGACATTACATGAATACAGGTAATTTTGATCCATGTTGTGCATGAAACTGCTAATTAGTACATTAGGTACACACAAGTACATTAAAAATTCTCCAAACATGACAAGGCCACACACTGCAAAAGAGCGATGTAAGACCTACACAATAAGTTGTTATTCCTAACCATTTTCGGGATAGAGATGGCAGGAGACAAAGAGGATCAAAGTTAACGTAGGGTGAATTCAGGTATATTGGGACATCAGGTAATTTGG